TGCAAATTATGGGAAAGTAACCCATTTTTTGGTCTTTATTTTTGTTTCTTATGTAATAGCTCATCTTCAAAAGGATTTAGAGCAGATTTCCCTGGAGTGACTAAGCCAGATTCAAAAATCTGAGAAAAAAATTTTGATTGGGAAGACTGCTTTTTCCCTCTGTACCCATCTCAACAGACAAAAGTATGGTCATGGCTTATTCAATACAGGCCATCACAGCTACCACCTCACCTTTAGACGAATTCAGTATACAAATTCTGGTTTCTTTTTCCAATTCTCTAAAGAAAAGTCTATAAATAAATAAATGATTGGTGGTGGTGGTGTGTTGGTGTTGGGTTTTTTTGGTTGTTGGTTTTTTGGTGTATTTTTTCTTTGTTTTTGTTTTGTTTGGTTTTGTTTGTTTTTTATTTTATTTTGGTTTTGTTCTTTGTTTCTGATTGGTTGTTTTGTTTTGTTTGTTTGTTTTTATAATAATACAAATGAGGAAATCTAACTGCAGAGGGGGTTCCTATTATTCAGGAAAAAGAAAAAGAAGCATGAAGAGAAAAGGAAGCAGCATGAGCGTGAATCTCCTGCCTGGGAAAATGAATCAGCCATCTGGCAGCTTGATTTTATTCTGATCTTCTCTAGTGGTGAATCTCTGGCCATTAATTCAGACACAGAATTGGTATCTGCCCTCTCCTTGCTCAGTTTCCTGTGTGTGACTGATCATGAAGGTCTCTTTGGATCAAGCATAATAACAGTGCCTGTAAAGTCTTTGTTAAATCCTCTCTAAATTGGGCTCAATATCAGAAATGGTAGAATTTGAAGAACCTAAAGAGTAGCTTTTTTGAGAAAGACAGTCCTGTGAAATACTTTCTCCTAGTTTTTCACAGAACTTTTTTTATCAGATATAAATCCTTTCTAGACAGGTCAGAATTGAAAATATCTCCACTTCTTTACAATGCTTAGATAGCACTTATTTTTCTTTTACATTTCTCATTGTATTGGAAAGGATGCTAGTGTGCTAAAACTATACAGAAACTTCAGGATGGTCTTTGGTTTTTTCCCAAAGTCTGAAACAATGGTAGAAGGCCACTCTGAAACTGGTAGCTTAGAAAGGAGTGGTGTGCTTGCAGAGGAACTGCTTTCATCATCTTCCCTCTTGTACCAACTGGAAGGCTCAGTCCCAGAAGCATGATCTCTTAATGAGGAAAATAAAGGATTTAGGCTCTTCAGAGAGCCAGTTTGGCCCCCTTAAAGGTGAGGAATCCTCACAGGGCTCAGTTGACTTAAGAAATTCTTGTCTTCTGGTCACTGGAGCAGAGCAGAAACTTTCCTGGCCTAACCGCAGAGCTCAGCACCTTCAGCTGTGCTGACTGAAGTGCTCCTGCAGTTGTACTGGAACAGCTCAGAGAAATGATCTGGGTTGGGGGGGCAGGAATCAAAACGGTCCCTTAGAAAACAAATGTCCCTCCCCCCTTCTCTGATGAGGCAACAGTTTTGCTAAGACAGGGTTGAGCAAACAGCTGAATGGAACAACTGCGAGGGAGGAAATTGAACTGGAGAGTGTAAAATCCTCTTAGGCAGGCTCTGTGACTAGGGGTTTGTAATGTGCTGCTGCACCTGGAGTCTGGTCTCTAGAGCTTTGTCACAAGCCAAAAAAAGCAAATTCTGTTGTGTGAGTCAGGACACCCAGAAGTGTTATGGATCTGGGCTTCCAAGGCCTGAGTCAGCTTTGGAAATGGGCTGAACTCTCTGCCATGGTATTGTCAGTGCTTGTACACACATTCCTTCAAAGCCACACCTTAAAAACTATGTAATGTTTTCTTCACATTAGGTAAGAACATTTACCTAAAACCTCTCAGCTGTGAGCTCAAGTGTGAAGTACAGTGTTTTTGGAATAAAATTAAATACATGTACTGCACATGTATTTCATGCACAGCTGACTGGAGCTGCCTTGTGTTGTGCTCCTGCCAGCTCCTGAAGTAAACTGCTATAATCTTGCAAAGTTTTGGATTGGAGTTGTAATATGAATTATCCCTATTGTGTCTCAAGCAGAAGACACATTACTGGAATTCAGTGTGCAGGAAAAATGTAGTTTATTTCTATGGAAAGATTGTCTATTTGGCAGCTGTCAGAAGTTGACTTTGTATGGGAAAGGCACAAATAGATCCAGCTCTTTTCCATCTATTCCTAAGTGTCGTTTTATAATGCTATAAATAATTTTTAAGGCTTACATTAAGTTTGGTGGTTTTTTTTTAAATACACAATTCTTTTACAATTATCAGATAGTATCAGATTAACATTAAAGATCATCATCAGCATCTGTAGCTGTAATTGAAACTGTGAACATAATTGTATGACTGGGCATTCAGGATGCTAAAATGTTACCTATAAGACAGTCTTTCTGCTTATTTTCTTGTTAATTTCCCCTGAACTTGACTGAAAGTGCAAAACTATTCTGAAATGTGAATTCAAGCTACAGAATATAAATTATTTTTGTAAGCCTGTCTCATGTACTGACAGATTGTATCTAGAATTCCTAAGTGTCATCAACTTGTTACACTATTTTTTTGGGTTTTTTGGTGGGTTTTTTTTTTGTCGTTTTTTTTTTAATTTAAAATACTCCTAATCATGGTTTCCATTTTAAGTGTTATTTTTTCTGCGGGATGCCTCATCTTAGTTTTGAAAAGACTGGAACTGCTGGATACTCTTAAGTAGCCTGTCTTAGTTAAGCAGGTGAGCAGAGTAACTCAGCTTAGCGACTGCTTAGTTATGCTAACGCTGTCCCCAAAATTTTAAGTAGATAAACAGAAGAGGGTGATTAGAGACTAATTACCAGGACAAAACTATTATTGTGCTGACTGATCTAAATACAATCTTGCGTGGAACTATTCAGCAAGAGCGATGTACTTAACATTACACGATAAAGTGAAAAATACCCAGGTGTCACATATTGTGTATCTGGTTACCTTAGGAATTCTGTTCTGCTTATATGGGCCGCTTTAGGTTCATATAATCCTCATGGCAAGGACAAAAAGGGAATCCACAAATCCTCATTTAACTAGGAACACACTGGGCGATGGGCAAAAGCAGAAAGCGTCCCTGGAGAACGCTCCCGACCACGCGAGCTGCCATCGGTGCCAGCAGACATTGCTTCTGTGCGCGTCCTGCAGTTCCCAAGATAAGGCACCCTGCAACCGTGCGGGCAACCGTGCGCTTATCTCCTAAGCCACGGGCTCCTTCGCGCACGACTTCGCTTCCTGGCGGCGGAACGTAGGGAGCGAGGGCGGCCCTGCGGCGCGGGGCACTTCAGTAAGGCCCAATTTCGCCTCGGTCGGACGATTATAACTAATTACTGCAAGGGTGCAACGGCAAAGAGCCCCAGGCCTGCGTGCGGTCGGGCGCGTCCCTCGGGCTGGCCCCGCGTCCGAGCTGCCGCTCCTTTTTAGGCCGTGCCGCGGCCCCGCTCTCGATCCGATCCCGGGCCCGCCCCACGGCAGCTGCGCGCCCGCCCCGCGCGCGGCCCCGCGCATGCGCCGCACCTTGTTTACCCCGCTCAGCTCGGCGCCGCCGCGGCCGGCCGGCAGGTGTCGCCCCACGCCCAGGAGAGTGGGCCCCGCTGGGCGGCCGCCAGGTGGCGCCTGCGCCCTCCATTCGCCCGCGAGCCGCCGAGCAGCGAACACCCCAAACAATCCCCAGCGCCGCCGCCAAATTAAATAACCCCGACCCGCCCGCGCCCCGCGCCCCCTTCGCGCCCACAGCCCGGCACCGACCGGGACGGGCGCGCAGCCGGCGAGTCGCGCCGGGGATACGGGAGCGGAGCTGCGCGCCAGGGCCTCCTCGCTGCCTACGCCGACACTGGGCAAGGTAAGTTAGAAAATGGCGGCGAAGCTTCTGGAAGTTTGGCTGGGGGATACGGGATCGCGGTGCGCGGCGGCGATGAGAGGCCGGGCCGGGGCCCGCGGCCCCCGGGCCAGCGCGGGGCGCCAGGCCGGCTGGCCGCGGGGACTGCGCGCAGCCAAGATGGAGGACGGCGGGGCCGAGCCGCGAAAACACTCCAGCCCCCCGCTTCCCCACCCCCCGTTCCCTGCGCGCCGTGGCGGGGAGGGGGGAGGCGAGCCGAGCGCGAGTGAGAGAGGGCGCCGAAAGCGGCCCCCCTGCCCGCCCCGGCCCCCTTCCTCCTCCCCAGAGCCGGTCGCGGGCAGGCCGGGCCCGGCGCTCGGCGAGCTAAAATGGAGAACCGCCTTCTCCTCCTCCTCCTCCTCCCCCCTTCTGCCGAGCCGAGCAGGGGCTGCCGGCAAGATGGAGGACTCGGGCATTGTGTGCGTGGGGTGTGTGTGCGGGCGAGCCGGGTCGGGCCGCTCGGGTGGGCAAGCGAGGGGAATTGGGTCGGGGCCCGAGCCGTGCTCTGGGAGAGCGCTGGGACGCGCAGAGAAAATGGTGGGGCGGCTACCGGTGCCTCGGGGTCGAATGTCAGGGGGGGCCGCGGGCAGGGGACTCGCACCCCTGACACCACTGGCCACAGCTCCTTTTCCCCTGCTCCCCGCTGCCCAGCAGCCGAGTTCTTTCTTCCAGCCCGCTCCCGGTGGGTTCCCCTCGCAGGGTAGTGCCGAGGGATCGGGGTTTGTCTCCTCAGTTTTTCCTCCGAGAGCTGGGGCAACTCTGGCCGCCCTTCCCCATGATTACATAGGAGGGCTGGCGGGAGGGGGGCTCCTTCGGCCCAAGTGAGGACGTAGGAACTGACCTGCACCTTCCCCACCGCCTCCCTTCGCTGCCCCCCGCCCCGGCGCGTAGCTCGGGGAAGGCCTCTGTGGGTCAAGTTTTCCCCTCCGAGTGACTTTGGCTGAGCTCCTCGGCGGCTGTCCGCTAAGAGGAAGAGTTGTGGCAGTTTCCGTTCGGCTTCCTTTATTTTTTTTGTAAAGAAAGGGCGCCTGCCAACTTGTGCCGGGGACGCCCGATGCCGGGAGCCGCGTGTTGCTGGAACCCCGTTGGGCTCTCGCCGGCCCCGGTGGGGGAGGGGGACAGGAGGAGGAGGAAGGAGAATGCTTCTTACTGGGGGGTTTTGGCGCCACTTTTGTTTTAGATAGTGTTCCTCTGCCCCCTCCTCCTCGGCACGCACTGAACTGAGCTGAACCCTGCCCAGGTAGGAAACGAGAGCTTTCCTGGTGTTTCTCTTTTCTGGGCGGTTTTCTCTACACGGATTTTTTTATTTTTTAAATTTTTTTTAAAAGATTTTTATATATATAACTATGTACATATATAGGTGTTGCTGCGGTTAGGGACGGAGGATTGAGCGGCCGCAGATGGCTGGGCTAGGAGGCCCTGTTTTCCGGGAATTCCTCTCCCTGCCCGAGCGCATCCCTGGTGCTGGGCGTGCTGGCCTTGGGGGCCCGCACCGCTGGGCTCCCGGGCGCGCTGCCTCCATGCCTTCCTCTGTTCTGGTAGCATTGGGTATAATCCGTCTGCCCCGTGGAAATCCGGGACCCACCGACCTCAATTTTTTTTTTTCCTTTTTTTTTCCCCCCCTTGCCCCCGAGAGCTGGCGCGGAAGCGATCGGGCCCCTCTTTCGGTGCTTTTGTTGTATTTATATTTTTTTATTGTACTGCCTGGGCCCAGCTCTGCTTTCTTGTGTTCCCATGGGATGCGGCGTTAGGAGGTGACACAAAGTTTCGGTTACCTCCTAGTCCGATGTTCTAGTTACTGAGGGCGAGTGGGTGGTTGGTTGTTCGGTTTGGTGTTGTTTTTTGTTTGTTTGGGATTTTTTCCGTTTGTTTTATTTTTTAATTACTTTTTGGCAGCCCGGGTAGCGCTGCTGCCCCCTCCCCCTCCGCGCTCGAAAGCTCTCCCTTCCCGTGCGCTCCCCGAGCCACACCCTGGCGTGTCCGGTCTCCGAGGCGCCTCAGCCGCCGGTGTGACCCTGCGTTTTCGCTGCGCGCCCCGGGGCCGACGCCCGGCGCGGGTTGCGGGGGGGGCCGTGCCGGCGCGGTCCGGGCGGGCGGGCGGTTGCCGAAGTGCGTCACGGCGGCCCCGCCGGGCCTGCTCGCCGCGCCTCGGGCCGCGCCCGCCGCCCATTGGCCACCGCCGCGCGGGAGGCGGTCTCTTCCTCCGAGCCCGGCCGGGCCCCTCCGCTCGGCTCGGGGCGAGCGCTGCTCGGGCTCCGCTCGGCATCCCGCTTGCACGTCTCGCGGGGCTGCTGGAAGGGAACCGGAGGAAAATGCCTTTTGGATCGCTTCTCTGGAAGCCGTTGCACGACCGCTTTTATCTGTTTTGTTGAATCGTGTTTTAAATGACCAAGAATGAGAGTTCCTACAGCGAGGTGTTCACCAACCATAAGTCTCCCTGTGAACTCTTGGCAGTTCCGTCTCGATTTGTGATTATTTCTTTCTCGTTTGTAGTGTTTGGCTATTCGAAACAACTTTTTCCGTTTTTCATAGTCTCTTTTCCTTGAATCAATAATCTATTTATTATTTCTGCAATATTTATCTCGTATTGAACTCTCACAAGACTTATCCTTGTACAGGCTGGCTGATTGTATGTAGAGAAATAAATACCATGAGTGATTATGCAATTGACCATCATTAATCTCTGTCATCTTGGTATCACTTGTTCATTATCCTCAACTCATAATTTTGTGGATTTGTCTTCCTGATGATCAGTCACAAACTCAATACCACAGATCTGGTATAGGGCTCTTTATTGGGTAAACACAGTTTGTGTTCTTTTATGGTATAATAACAATTTCATTACTAAATGAAACATGGTGTAAGAGCTGCCTTGCTTTTAGCATAAACATGAATATTTTTGCTACTGAAAGCCCTGGAGGTGAACAGGCTGGAATTCCCACACTGTTCTGATTAATCAAAGACTAAAAAAATTCGAAGTTATACAGAGGAGAAAAATATTAATTGAATCCCATCTCTGACAGATAGATCTTGCTCTGTAACTCATAGGGCTCATGTTGGTCATTCTTGACAAAAACAGTGACATTTTATGGTGTTGTCTACAGGTGGGCTTTGTGCAACCTGTGAGACAAACCCCTGAATTTCTGTTGCTGTTGTTTGTATTAAGGTAGCTCTGGTAAACTTAAGGATGGCTGTTGTATAAGCTTAAATTCAACCAACCAAAAAACCCACAAGCATGGAACTAGGTGATAGGAGAGACTTTAATTTTTCTGTGATACTTTTAGCATTCAGATAACTTCCAAGTTATGTACTTGGGCCAGAGGTATGCTCTTGTAGCTTTTTCATGTACTTACAGTTTCAGGGAGATAATGCTGAATAAAGTCAATAAGCAAAGTAAGGATTTGTTAAACCTGTATTTAATAAGTGAAGTTAAAATTTATGTACAGCTCTCATCTTTTAGATATAAGGTCTTGATGTTTTGCAAATGAAAACTGAAATTAATTTGAGTTGGTTCAAATCAAGGATTCTGTGATATTTGAATATATTTCTAAAAAATTTGGTTTTGTGAAATGACAAGAAATTGCTAGTTCATAGATTATTAAAATACTTAGTTTAAAAATGTATTATGTTACTTGAATAGCATTCGTTTTATAGATTGGAATATTCAGTTAGCTGGTTGGTAATTTAAATCAAATTCCACAAATATATCATATTTGAACTTTACATGTTCAAGTCTTTCAATGTTTGGAGTGAAATAATTTCCACTTGGAAGGAGTGTAAATATAATTGTCAGTTAAATACTGTCTAGGTTTGTTTTGTCTTAGTATAACTTACCAATAGCAACTAAATTATATAAAAAAAAGTAATGTAGATAGCTTTTCTTGAATATTACATGCTACTGCAGTCTCCTGTAGAAAATAGGTGCAGCAAACAAACCACTTGAAAGTTCCTGCTCTTGGTGGTGGGAGCAACTGTGTTAGACGTAGTTGTCATGAAATGATGTTGGCACATCAAGGCTTTGTGAACTTTTTAAAATTAGATTGCTCTTTTGTTTGCCGTTTTCATTTGTGGTCTTACTGTCTCAGTTGTTTTGCTGCAGGCAAATATTTTAGGAGCTTTTCTGAAACTTGTGTGTCACTAAGAAAAGATTGTATGTTTTACAGAAACCTGAAGTACTTCGCTTGCTTATTTTCACCAAATGAATCCCAGAAAATAAGCAAGTATTTCTGCTTGTTACTTGTGCTTGTTGGTTGTGGAATTCTGTGTTTTGTCAGATGAGACAAGGTTTTTGACTCAGTGTGATCTCTGCCTACAGTGGCCATTTCTTCTCTGACTAAATTGAAAACTCAGAATATTGTAGGTGTGAATTTCCAAATGGTTCTCTTGGGTTTTGGTGGTGGATGTTGTTTTGTGTTTGTTTGTTTTCCTCTTTTTTTCTTTTTTTGATGTAATTAAGAAAACATACTGGAAACAGGAATATGTTGTCTATTTGGTCTCTGTCAGCGAGATGTGAGAATTTCCAAGAGCTTCATCTGGTTGAGTACTTGTTTTGTCATGGAAAGAAGTGATTGATAGCAGCCATCAGCATACCAGTTTAATACTCTTAAATAAAAGCTTTGCTCTCTCGGTATCATTTAAAACATATTCTGAAAACTTCATCTTATATGAGGATCATTGAGACAGAAGAAGAGAGTGATAATTTAGTCCTTGGGAAACAGAGGTGAGCAGGGAATTGGAGTTTTAGGTTGGAAAAAAAAAGCTTGCACACAGCAAATATATGGAGGAATAGAAATAACTCTTTTTCATGTGCATCACAGAAACGTAAATGGTGACATCGCCTGTAGCCGTGGTTTAGATTAAATACCATCCAGCGTTTTAGATGAACTCCTCTTTTAAACTCAAAGGCTAAGTAAAAATGGGAATTCTTCGAAGTCCCATAGTTCCCGGGTCATTGGCACCGGCAGTCCTGCGGTGTGGGCTGTTCTGGGCCTCCTGCTTCCTGACCCTCCTGTCCTATAGACTCAGAGGTGGAGCGGAACGGGGCTGCAGGCACGTGGAACGCCCTGGTTAGGTGCGTGGGGCCGCTCCCGGCAGGACGGAGCGCGGGGCGTGCCGAGCCCCCGGCGGCTGCGCAGCGACCGCCCCCGGTCCCCAGGGGGCGCCCCGGCGGCGGGGCCGCGGCTGCGCGGCCGGAGGAGCCTGTTGAGGGATGGGGCGCGGGGAAGTGGCGGGGAGTGTCTTCGGTCGCCTTGGCAGTGTCACATCTGCGGAACTGCAGCTCTTAGGCGAGCATCTGTTCGGTCTAAAAGACTCATTTGGAGAGTAAACCAGTTAAGCACTTCCATTCAGTGAACAGATTTCGTGTTTGAAGATTAGCACAGTGAGTTTTTACGTTAGGAAAAAAAAATTAGCTTTCAAAGAGTTCTGCATTTGTGGTTTTAAGGGTAAGTCTTAGGATCTGATGTGATTTTTGACAAGGTCGGGTATTTACTTAAGAGTGCTATAGCAAAACTCATTTTGAGAGTAAAAGGTTAAAATTTAAATTTTAATCCTATGTTGTTTTAACTAGAATTTATTTTCCTAAAGTATTCTCATCTTGAAGTTCATAAAAATCTGGTAAAGTTAGAAATTAATTTTTTGTGAGAATAAATACAAAGTAAGGGAAATCTCTGAAGGTGACCTTCATTTAGATCATCACAGACAATTGTAGGACTGGTGCTGGTTTGTTGAAGTTGGGAAGCTTGTCTTGAGAAAGATGTTTCAGTCTTTGAGTGTATCAACACATAAACTATACTATTTTTCTCTTGATCCTGTCAGTTTGATGGGTGAAATCACTGAGACTAGACCAGAATCCTAGATTTGATGGGTTATGCCATTCCATTATTTCACAAATATTCAGTCAATTTTTAGTATCTCTGTATTTTCCAAGTTTTCCACTGTTTAATTGTCCTAGATCTATGAGATCTTGGGTAGAGAAGAGGGAAAGGGAAATATTCTTTCACAAACATTTCCTGAGATCTGGCACCCAATTTTGGAGATAGCAGTGTGGGAAAATTTGATCCCTCGGGGTACCCCTGTGGCTTTCATATGGCAGCTGGCTTTTCCTAGCTTTTACTGGCTACAGATTTGCATGGTGGAGCCCAGGACTAGTCTGCATTTAAACTTCTTTATGCCAGTTTGAGTCAGAAATGAAGGACATACAGGACTATATTTGTGTTCAGCTTGCTTTTGTCTTATCGC